AAAACACACGTTTAAAAATATTTGAATTTTGTTGAAGGACTTCACCTTGGTAAGCTGGTTGTGACTGCAGTTTGTAGATGAATCCGGGAACAAATTGTTACATGGCTTGTAACAAACAAGGCAACTTCTTATACAAATCCTCCCAATTTCCATAGATGATCTCCACTGTCTTTTGTTTGGCCAACCAGGCCTTCCTGTATATTATAGTGTAACCCGTTGTTAATTGGATGTGGGCTATGATTGTGAAGATTGGTGTTGACGAATCAACATCAATTATTTGACCAATTGTTTGGGAAATCATTTTATATCCCAACTTGTTGTGGTCTTGGCTGATTAATGACAAAACGCATGTATGGTGCCCTTCAAGCTTCATAATCTCCCAATATTGCTCTCTTGTGCGCAATATTGCTCGACATCTCCAATTGCATTGGTTATGAACACATTCAACAACATATTTACTTTGGTTTGAAATTTTCACCTTGTATGTGCAGTGATTGACAATGTGAAAGTGGTTGATGACATCTTGAAGTTGTTCTTTTGTTATGAAACATTGTCTAAGAAATAGAGTTCCTACTGGAGAAACAAAAGATTCTCTGTCCAACGCATGACCATACTCTGGGTCTTGTTGTTGAATGTGACTTTCAAAGTTAAGAAAATGTTGTGGTGGGTTGTATGGTTCCATGAAGTTTGGTGCATGTGTAGGGATATGTGGTTGTTCGTCCTCTGAATCATCTTGGTGTTGGCTGAGAATTTCATCTTCGTCTTCATCCTCACTAAAAGGATCAACGACTTCAATTGGGAGACCAACAATTTCGTTCTCTTGTGTGGGTAGTTCTTCGTTGATGTTGGTAGAAGACCCACTTAGAAGTTGGGTAAAAGGGATGTAGTCATTATGTGTGGGTATTTCTGGGTCAGTGTTTGGGAAAGCTTGGTAGGGTGAGGGTGAAATTTCTGGTGAGTGTGTGTTGGGGTATGAAGAAGAAGAAGTTTTAAATGAAACAAAAATTTTAATACCACATAGACTTGAGTTTGAATCATGAACATCGAACATGACCTCCACATCGTCATCATCTTTCAACTCAACAACAATGAAGTTGTTGATCCCAACTTCGAGTCTAGTTGGACAGCGAAAATGGATGGTTGCTAAATTTTCGTGGGGTTCTTTCTCCAATTTCTTGTGGATCAACTTCTTCAACCTTTATAGAGAAATTCCTCTCTTTAAAGGAACAAGTTTTGCAGTCCCAGTATTGAAGGTAATTCCCTCCATGGGACATGGGTTCATGAAACCATCATAGTAGATAATAGTAGACACTACACCCATTTTAGGAATGTGGAACACAAAGAAGACTAAAGGTAAGAAGAAGAAATAACGCAATGAGCTTCAGAGATTTAGGAGTGTGCAATGTGAGAACTTCAAAGAATGAAAGTGGTCTATTTATAATGAAGTCCATTGGTTTGAATCCAATGCTCCCTCACATGGTTTCTGACGCACACAAAACCCAAGCAAAGTGGGTGGGTCAACATCTCTTTAAATATGTTTGGATTCTTCTGCTTTTGTCTAACCCAATGCAGGGAATATAAGATTGGAATCCTAACTTGGGTGGGTGACTCAACATTGTAAATAATTGCAGGTTTCCTCGCTCAAGCGATGGGTTTCTCGCTTGAGCGAGCATTGACCACAGGCTAAACGTCCAACGCAGTTAGCCACATAATGCAACTTGAGTCACCACATATTTCAATCACTTCTCGCTCAAGCGAAAGTACTTGTCGCTTATGCGAGAATTGACCCGAGATTACCTATTTGTTACAGGTCTCCTCGCTCAAGCGAAGGGTTTCTTCGCTTGAGCGAGAGAGAAATGATCGATCATAATTTTGTATATTCGATTATTTTAAAATTATGATCAATTAGCTCAAATTATAATCGATTATAAACTCTTTCGCTCAAGCGATGGATGTCTCGCTTGAGCGAGAATTGACCACGGTCCAATGCAATTACCCAATCAATTCTAGCTCGAGCGAAGTAACCCCTCGCTTGAGCGAGAATTGACCACAGGCTAAACGTCCAACGCAGTTAGCCACATAATGCAACTTAGGTCACCACATATTTCAATCACTTATCGCTCAAGCGAAAGTACCCGTCGCTTGAGCGAGAATTGACCCGAGATTACCCATTTGTTACAGTTCTCCTCGCTCAAGCGAAGGGTTTCTTCGCTTGAGCGAGAGAGAAATAATCAATCATAATTTTGTATATTCGATTATTTTAAAATTATGATCGATTAGTTCAAATTATAATCGATTATAAATTTCTTCGCTCAAGTGATGGATGTCTCACTTGAGCGAGAATTAACCACGGTCCAACGCAGTTACCCAATCAATTCGCGCTCGAGCGAAGTAACCCATCGCTTGAGCGAGAATTGACCACATGCTAAATGTCCAACGCAGTTAGCCACATAACGCAAATTGGGTCACCACATATTTTAATCACTTCTCGCTCAAGCGAAAATACACATTGCTTGAGCGAGAATTGATCCGAGATTACCCCTTTGTTACAGATCTCCTCGCTCAAGCGAAGGTTTTCTTCGCTTGAGCGAGAGTTGATCTTGCGCGAAATAATCGATCATAATATAAAATAATTGATTATTTTAGTACGTGAACAGTAAAGAGTGCTAGTTGTGTAAATAATGTTCCAGATATACTATTTTGGAAAATATTTTTAAAAATAGGATTATTTGTGAAAAAAAGTCGTTTAGGGTTTTATAATGATGAAAAGAAAAAAAATCGAGGAAGAATAATTTTTGACTCTAATGTAGAATTTAAACGCACAACATATGTAGGAAAGAAAAAAATAAAAAAAGGAACACATAATAAACAAAAATTTGTGCACGGATAACTGATTGGACATAAATGATTGCTTTAAATATTTATTAAGGTTTTTTATCTTTATGTATATTACATGTTAATAGAAATTAAATTTACATCATAAATTTATATTAATAATTATGTCTAATATATATAAATTTATGTCTTTCTCTTTAACGTAAAAGGACTAATATAATATAGGATAAAAATCCTATTTTGTATTAGTGTCTCTTCTCTCAATCTCATCTCAGTCATTGGTCTATTTCTCGCTTCATCATGTCACACAAGATCGTATTTTACTTTCTTTTGTCTTCTCTTCACGTCTCATCATTCTTTTTCTCTTCTCATTATACTTCTACACCTCTTTCTTTTTTCGTATCTTCTTTTTTCTGTGGTCATTATAAGTTTTGTTTGATTTCTATTGTCATTGTTCATTTATGTTACGAAAATATGCATCATGATCTATGTTGAGAGAATATTTGATAAAATATTTGAACCTTCGTTGCAATTATGATTAAGTTAGCACTATTGTTGACAACTAAACATAATATTTTTAATGACAATTATATCAACTATGATTCTTTAACAACATAATATTGTTAGTGATTTCTAAACATAAATTGTTGTTAACATGTCTTTTTTTGCTTATCCATCTTAATATAGCTTATAACATACAATATTATAATATTTGAAAATTATAATGACCAAGAGAGAGACACATTTTAACTAAATATTACTCTAATAATTTTTTTACATGTTTCAAGACAATCGTTATAACAATAAGTTTTGTTTCATTAATATTTTCAATATAAATATACGCAAAAAAAAATCAAAATAATTTTTCATAGAATCCTTAAAAAATCTTCTACTTGATGCATGCATGTCGGTAGTGCATAAGAAATTTAAAGCATTTAACAGTGTGGAATTCATTGATAGAATTATTCGAGCATTTTTTTAAATGGTTCCGAAAATACAATTTGGATTAATTCAAAGATAATCAGATAGAAAAAATAATGAAGAAATTATTACTTAAAATTGTTCCATAGGATGCGAAACAAGTAAAAAACATAACCAATTAACGAGGTTATATTCTCTAAATTTTTTTCTAAAAGAGATCTTCATTTTAATGAAAAATTTAGAGTAATAAACTAACTAGTAAAAAAAAAAAACAAAACACTTCCGTCATTTGATTATTAGGAAATTGATAATGAAATAGGTCAGTTATACAGTTATATATTGAGAAAAAGAAGTAAAAACTAAAAAAAAAGCGATAGTTTTGAAATAATCTCTTTTATCCTTTTTCCAAAATAAATATATGAATAATTTTGTAATTATATAACTATTTTGTTTTATTAATTTTATTATTATTGTTGAAAATGACAATTGTTTTTTTTCATATCTTTTCTTGAACAAACAAACAAGTGCGTTTTTTCTCTTTATTCAACTTGTGTTTCTCTCTCTCTCTCTTCTCGTACTTTATTCTTTGATTAATTTAATTAAATTTCTTAAAATATGCCGAAAGTATAAATTGACGGATTGTATTTTTTTCTATAAAGATACATTGACGTGTAGTATTTTGAATCTTGATTTGTTACATGGTCAAAGACTAACCCTCCTTTCCAAAATTAGCACATTCACTTCTCTGATTGGCTACTAATCCATGGTGTATATAATTTGACGTTTTGTTGTATATAAAATCTAAAACAACAAAAGATTAACAAGCAGAAATTGAAATCAAGGATAACCTATTAATAAACCACTGTAATATTTTATTTAATATAGACAAAATATTTAAGGCAGGTGTTACGCCTGAAAAGTATTATAGCAGAAACAAGGGCTACTATACTTTCATTGACCATAATAGTGGAGAACAAAACTTCAATGACTGAAACCTCACTCAAAGCTTCTTAAATATTTGAGCTCAAAGGGGAGAGCATAAGAACACTGCTAAAAATAGTAACCTAACCACATGGTGGTAACCTGTCAGAGTTGGTTGTTACATATGTTACAAGATGTCTCTGGAGCATATAGATGCAACAATAATGCTTACAAACATGAGTGCTATAACTCCATTCTATTTCCCTTATAGTTATTGTGTATAAAAGACCATGTAATCCACTCTTGTATGCCCTAAAAGCTTATCATTTTATGAGGTGCTTAAGCCCGTCACCTTCCCAACCAAGCTTGAGCATTTGATCTACCACTTTCAAGCTCAACTGCAAGAAGCAAGAAGCAATAAGTTGCGGGAGTTACCAATCATTTGTGTGCATTCAGTCCAACAGGAACATAAAAATATAAAAAATTACCACACTGTACAGGTGTCAATTGTGAAACTCCAAATAATGTGCAACTGTGATTATTCTTGTATGAAACTAGATTGCAAGTGAAATATCAAAGTTTATCCTTATCCAATTTACAAGAATCAGAAAAAAAAAAAAAAAATCACTGCCTGGACTCACGAAATATTTAAAAACTGTATTCACTTGTAAAGCGCAAGCAATGATTGATTTTTGACAATGATCCTTAACAAGATTAATTTAACTTACAGCTGGATCAGTAAAGATAATCAATTGTTTATCCGAAGTTGAAACCAAAAGATTTGTGTTATCCTTATTTAGAGCAAGAGCTGTGATATTCTGTCCTTCTTTCAGCTTCAACACATGAAATACCTACAGAAGATACTATGTTAGAGTGGTTAGCATTGGAAAACAGTCCTCAGGAGATGCATGGTAGGAAGGCAACAGGACTTATGAGGTTTGGGAGAATCAGAATGCCGTTCTTACTGAAGGGATTTTCTTACAGTATGTGAAATGAGGAAGTTTGCAGGCACATAAAGGTGCAGTTCAATGAGAAATAAAACACTGATTTTCTTTTGATAGCTCAATTTAAATATCTTAATATTGTACCTCCAAAGTGTGCAAATCCAAGAAGCAGATTGATGGTGATGGAGTATTTATTCTGTTGCTATCGTGAGTTTCTTCTGAGTCTGAATAAAAATCTTCATTACTTGACTTACTGGATTGCGAATTCCAACTGTTATTGTAGGCTCTGCCATTTTCTTGAGAGTTAATTCCAATCAAAGCACTCCTTCCATCAAGAGAAATTTCCATACAGCTAATGCTGCTAGAGAAAGATAGTTCTGTTTTTGCAATCAGAACACCATTAAGAGTAAAGGTACTGAGAATATGCTTTGATTCATTCCAAGCCATAACAACCCCTTCAGAAGAAAGGGAGACGGTGTGAGCCACCACACCATCCAGCCTTCTGACTAAACGTCCCTTTCTTATAGAGTGCAGGAGAACATCTGATGAGTGGGAGCATGAAACAACCATTCGAAGATCTGAGTTAACACAACAACTGAGTATTTCACTCTGGTGGCCCCTAAGTACCTGTATAGGGCCCTCAATATGGCGTCTCCGATTCTTTTCTATCAACAAATGTGATGAAGAACTACTGCTGGTTGAAGGCGTGCCAGTGCCAGTCCCAGTAGAAGATTCTGATATGACACTTGAATGCGATGCAAGAGCCCTATGTATTCTCCAGAGTAATACTGTTGTATCTCGGGAACCTGTCACCAGGTAGTCACTATTGGGTGAAAGACCAATGCAAGTTACAGGAGCACAGTGTGCATAGGCTGTTTCCAAGGTTTTAGCTCCATCTGAAGATATTAACCTAATACTATTATCAGCATGCCCACCTAAACAGAAGTCCAATTCTCAAGTTAGATGTGAAAGACCCAAGCAGTTTAAAAAGTAGCTACTAGAAATGCAGTACAAGTTTCTTAGAAGAAGTTTTAGAACTGAGAGGGGGAAGAAAAAGTATTTTAAAAAACAAAAAGAATTACATTCTGGATTTTATTTTTTTCTCACGTTCAGCCTGTATATAATGGTTTTGGATATTATAACCATATGTTGAAGGTCAGTTCCCATCACAAAGATCAATCAAATTTACTAGAACGCCTCCTTAATTGAAGTATCTATTTAAAAGCTGGCTATATTAAATATATATGTTGCTGCTATGAAGAGGATGGAACTATTTTAAATTTTATATCATATAATTTTATTCTCCTTATTCTTATTCCTAAATCTTTCAAAATAACAACTTTTCCTTTCTACTGAACAAAATGGGTGTTAATCATTGCTGCAAATTTGTCTTTTCTAAGAAATACTAGAAGATATGACTTACCAATGCTATAAAGTACTGTTAACATCCAGAAACCCCCCATGCTAATTCACCAGAGAAAAATTCCTTAAAATTGATAAATTATATCATCTATGTTTCCAGGGAAACTAACGCTAATGGCAATGGTTATTATTTTTAAGCTAACTTACATTAGAGATTAATTATCAGTAATAATTTTTTCACATACTACTAATAGCTGCATATCTTAATAATCGTAGCTCATCTAGATTTACCAGTAATAATTTCTTTGTCACATGTTATAGAGACAATAGCCTGGCTTCTAAGTCCAGAAACAGCAAAAGCCAATGCTTGGGGATATTGCCACTCTTCACCAGTCCCAGTAGGACCTTTTAACATGCGTATAATCCCACCAGAAGAGCCCGACGTAGCTTTTCCATGGTGAAAGAGGAATGGTGTACCCTGGCCATCAGGTGTATTGGGTTGCCACTTGTGCTGTGCAATATGAGCTGCTGGTGCATTCAAACCAACAACCACAACCATATCTGAAGACGCATGGATAGCAGCTGCTGGTAGATTGCAGTTTTCAGGGGATGGGACGGCATATGGCTTGACTGCTTTTGGGTTGCGGAATATTGTCTGATATACAAAGAAATATACGCATTATCATTATAATCACATGCACTGATATCATTGATAGCTGGGGAAGAATCAAACAATAGGAGAGCAGTTTGAAGCATTTCATCACAGGTTTTGAACAATTCTTACAACAAAGGAGACACCTTGTACATACATAAAATCTACTAAGGAGCAACATAACATACTAATGACAAAAATAATCAAATGTACTCGAAACAAATAAATAGGGCTTTCTTTCTGACTTGGTAGGTAGTGTCTAATTCAGGTTCAATTTATTTATTTATTTTTTCTCTTTGTATGCTAGGAAAGGGAGGAGAAGGGTTCACAATATTCTTCAAAGATAGGATGGAGAGATAGGGATCTCAGGTTCGGGTACTTCTTAATTAGTTTTTTATACATGGAGAATGTGGCTGGAGGATATTAAATACTTTTGTCTGTTACTTGGGTAATATTTTTACTAAAATCTGTTTAAAAAAATTAAGTTATGCACATAGTACATGATTGCTATAGCTGCTACCTTAAGTCATTTTACCATAGTAATTTATGTAATAAATAACTTTCTTAAGATGTATGAATTAACTTAAAAGAGACAAATAATGAGACCAATGTAATAGTTGACAATTAAAACAAGTGACCATTTTATCCAAAAATACTTTATGGAAATCAAAGTCGGGGTAAGTAAGTATAGAAATCGGGTAGAGAGTGAATTTTGGCAATGTTTGGTACTTTTTGCAAGAGTTCATGAATAGCGAGTTATTTAGTAAAAAAGAAATGTAGTTGTTTTTTCTCTTCGTATTACAAACCAAAATTATGAAAAACAGCCATTATACATGCATGGCTAATGGCAAACCATGAATTATCAGTTAGCCTGATGATTACAGAAATCCATAAAAAGCAAAGGGTAAGAAGACAGGGAAGCAAACATAGATGCTTGTATTAATAAAGGTGTTACTGTTAAATCAATTCAATCGAGGTTACCTGCAAATGCAGAACTTCTGATAGCGGTTTCTTCTTCAAGTGTGGAATAGTAAGAAGTTGGGATGGTGTTTGTCCAAAATAAGCAATCTGATCTTGTGTGGCATGCTGTTGCACCTTTACTTATCATGCAGAGGAGGAGTAACAAGTTACAAAAACATGGATAAATTATTTGTTGAGGTCTGATGCTTTTAATATGACTTTAGTATTTTTGCAAAAATGTACTCCACATTAAAATTAATAGTGCATAAAATCTTCCATTTTTTAAGTCATAAAATTTGCGTTATATCACCCATGTTAGAGATATTTCTCTTTTATGTTTTGTAATTCTCTGTTTAGCATATATTACTGATTTTAATAGATAACTAAATTTATTACTAAGTGTACTTTTTCTTTTAGTACCAATATATCTTTCTTTCTTTTAATATGGTATAAGAGAAATATGATCTATGGCTTCAAAAACCATTCTACCACCTTCCCCTCCATCACCTGTAATGACTCGGGCAACACCTTGCAAACCCACACTACTTCCAGTGATAGTGGTTCTTTCATCTTGGTCCAGCACAAACTCTGGTCACAGTTTCTCATCATAGTTTACAGAAACTCGATGACAATAATTTCTTGCTATGGCCTCAACATTTTATGCATCATTTTCTTGTAGCTCGGAAAATTCTTTCCCTTTTTTTTTGGATCAAATCACGTGAATTCATATTATCTTGTTTGGGAACAACAAGATCACATGTTGTTAGCTTGGTTACAATAGTAATTCTTGCTCATGTTCTTGTCTGTATCTATTCTTATGAAGTTTGGAAGAAGATTCATTCCTATTTTCATCATCAAACAAGAATGAAAGCGAGACAACTAAGGTCAGAGTTCGTAATTCTTCTGTTGATATAGAAGTTTACCACAAGAAACTCTCCTTTTTTCAGAGTTTTATTCACAAAATGGATTCGATCTTTTCTCTAAAACAGCAGCTTAGTAATCTCGATTACTTTCTTGGTATAGAAGTTTGTCCTCAATCCAATGGGTCTCTCCTTATGACTCAAAAGATCTCCTTTCTAAGACTAACATGCTTGAGGCTAAGCCAGTTTCTTCTCCTATGATTTAACTTTCTAAACAAGGTTCTTATTTATTGTTAGATCCTTCATTTTACAGATCTGTAGTGGGTGCTCTTCAATATCTCACAATCACCTGACTCGAGATATGTTTTTCTGTTAATAAAATCTGTCAGTTATGGCAGCTCCTCTTGAATCCCATTGGACCACGATAAAATGAATACTTAGATATCTAAAGGTACTCTTCATTGTGGTATACAAGTTATTCTAACTATTGCTAATCAATCTATAATGATTAAAGCTTTTTGTGATGCAGACTGGGCTGTTGACCTAGATGAGTCGGTCTAGGTCTAGAGTTGCAATTTTTCTTGGTCCTACTTTAGTTTCATGGAGGTCTCGTAAGAAAACTGTTGTTGCTATCTAGTACAAAGGTAGAATATTGGAGCCTTGCCTCAGTCACCACCAAACTTCTTTGGATTCAAACACTTCATAGTGAATTTGCTATACCTTATTGTGTTCCGATTGTGTATTGGTATAATCTCAATGCAGTTAATCTCTCTCTTAATCCCATCCTATATGCAAAGACAAAACATAAGGAACATCATATTTTCTTTGTTCAAGAGAGAGTGCTTGCTAAACAACTTGTTGTTCAACAAACATATTCTAGGTCATGATCTTATGGCAGATATTCTTACTAAACGGCTGTATACTACAAGATTTCTTTTTCTCGTATCCAAGCTCACAGTGGTTGATCTACATGATGTATCTCACCCATCTGGAGAGCTTGTCGGAGTGGTATAGAGATATTTCTCTTGTTAGGTATATTACTCTTTTATGTTTTCTGTCAGTTGTAATTTAGTTACAAAAACAGTTCCTAATTTTCTGTCTAATGGGTTTGTAACAGAGAATTACATGTCTTACTGATTGTTCTTTTTCTTTTAGTATCAATATATCTTTCTTTCTTTCTTTCATTAAGAAGTTCACATATAGACAGTAATGGCACAAGGGATTATTTTTCCATCTCATCTTTGTAACAGAGAATTACATGTATTACTGATTGTTCTTTTTCTTTTAGTATCAATATATCTTTCTTTCTTTCTTTCATTAAGAAGTTCACATATAGACAGTAATGGCACAAGGGATTATTTTTCCATCTCATCTTTTACCCAAAAAGAGAAATGGATATTTTCCGCATCTAATCTTTTCTATTTTCCTCAGTTTCTCCGCAACTTGTATTGGTCACAAGGATTGCCTTGTTTATATCATGCTTAAGCAGTCAAGTTCATGTATAATAGCAATTATGTAACAATCACACATACAAGTGACAAGCAAAACTATAATTATCATGTACTTTAATCCTTCAACCAAAGGTAGTTCTGATATGATAATTGATTTAAGGATATTTTCATATTTTGTTTCAGGGAGTTGAAATTTCATGTTACATAGACAACAAGATGAATTGAAAATATGAAGATGAACAGAGACATACTGGGTCAAATATTTTATCAATATCCACTGTCCCTTCATAGGTAATGTAAAAGAAAACATTATTTGCTGCAATAGCCTCTTTGCCCTGTTGTTTATACCTGCATGGTTAAATCCTTTTAATATAACCATATGTAAATTTTCAAGGGACTAATATGAAGTGGAAATTTAAAAAGGAATATTGATTGGGGAGAAACTGAAAGTAGGAAGAAAGCCTACCCAAATATGAGATCAATCCACTCATGCAAATTAGCAGATACATACTCGCTCTCCAGAGCCATCCTATGCTTATGCACAAAATCAACTGGACTCTCAGCCCAAGTAGGAAGTTTTACAGTATCTGGCATGGCAATCGTAATTCACAAGCAGAAATAGCTTTAATATGCACATACATGTAACTACAATGTCTTCTTAAAAAGAAAATGGAGAAAATCTCAATGAGTATACCGAGCTTTCCTCCCAATTGTGTTGTGCCAAAATCAATTGAATTTTCATTTGTGAGGACCTCCGGGAGGTAAAATAGCTCAGGAACCTAATTTGACATTAAAAGAGGAAAAAGAAAAGCTTAAAATATAAGTTTCAAGAAACCTATTAAAAGCATGTAAAAATATAAGTACTAAAAACATTGAAGTTGCTAAGGGAAACTAGAAGTCTTGAACATGCAATTGCAAAGAAATTTAATGTACAACCATTCAAGAAAATCAATCGTTCTGTTGTAAGTTAGTAAATGTATACCAATTCCTTCACATCACTCATGTCCTCAAGAACTCCATTCCATGTAGCAGAAATATCAGAAAACATTCGATCTGCATGATCAAATTTTCCGCCTTGTAGTTTGATTGCAAGAGTAGTGAATGGTTCGACCCTAACAAGATAATACAAAACCTGTAAAAGATAATAACCATTAACTAATGCAAAATTAGAAACTAAAATGCAACATTATTAAATGCTGTCATTTACATACTGGGTTGATTGTTTCTATTACTACTTTTGAACAAAAGAGAAAAATCATCATGATTTTGATTTATTCTATGACTTGGCAAGGAGATGGAAAAATGAACGAAGAAGCCAAAAATAAACACAGATGTTAACAAGACCCTTCAGAAACAGCTGCTTTGCATATATGTAGGGGTAGGGCCGCATACAGTTTCCCCATACTTTTGCATGCAAGGATTCTTCTAACAGTCTTCTTTGCATATATATGTTAGTAGTATGCCAACAGCAGAAAATAAAAATGAAATAAAATAGCACAATATTAAAGTTAACAAGCTTACATAATCAGATTTTGTGAGATGTCATTCTGTGTTAGTAGTGGTGGATCTTGATCATTGATTTTGGGGGGCAAATAATATATTATTAATAAATAATAAATAAATATAAAAAGAAGAAAGAAGATAAAATGGTGAAAGGATAAAATTGTAGATATATACTTAAATATATTAAATGATAATTAAGTTTGAGGGGGACAAAATCATAAATTATATGAGAGTTACAAAACTGATGAGGGGCTGAGAGGATAAAATTGTAAATATATAAGTAAATATATTAAATGTTCATTACGTTTGGGGGGGCCAAAATCATAAAATACATGAGAGTTACAAAACTTTGGGGCAGTCATGACCCCCCTCAGCTCCCAAGAAGATCCGCCACTGTGTTAGGACTTTGTTGACAATACTTAAAAGTAAACCACCATTATTTTTTGTCTTTAGGATTCATAACTGGATTGGTAATGCTTGGAAGCCATTTTGTATGATCTTAACATGATAGACAATTTAGACCTCTAGGCTGTAAAACCTACATGTTCTCTCTAAAAATCATCTAGCCCAAAATGAATCAATATTCTATTTGTTAGAAATATTTAGGGTGAAGAGACCATGTAAAATGACACTGGTATCTTGTATTTACATATGAGAGAGAATACAAAAGGGAGGTTGAGCTCTTGCCCAAACCCCAACCCTAAATTTGGGAACATACATAAGAAAAATAAAAATAAACCATATTTCAACATTTCCTCTCAAGTTGGAACATATAGATTGTATATACCAATCTTTAAACATATAAACTAAATCCTAGGTCCTCTCAAAGATTTAGTTAGAATGTCTACGAGTTGCTTGTTAGAACTCATAAACTCAATAATAAAGTCCTTGGACAACAACTTTTCTTTGACAAAATGATGGTCGATCTCAACATGTTTTGTTTTCTCATGAAATACTAAATTGGAGACAATATGAAGAGTTGCTTGATTCTCACAATACAACTTCATTTGTTCATTGTCACAAAATTTCAATTCTCGAAGGAGTTGTTTAATCTACATAAGTTCATATGTAGTAAGGACCATAGATCTATATTTAACTTCCACACTATATCGAGCAATAACACTTTTTTCTACATTTTCAAGTAATCATATTCCCTCTAATGAATACACAATATCTTTTAGTAGATCTCTTGCCAATAGGACAACCAAGCTAATATGCATACAATATCTTATAATTTTTACCTTTGTTTTCATATAACAATCGTTGTCCTAGAGCCCCTTTTACATATATGAAAGGCGAGTCAAGGCATTCTATTGACCAATACTAGAATTTTGCATGAATTGACTAACCACTTAAATGGTATGAAACAGATTCGGTATGGTAATAATGAGATAGATGAGTTTTCCCACCAACCTCCTATATCTCTTTAGATCTGATAAAACTTCACCTTAGTCTCCCATTAATTTATGATTTGGATCCATTAGACTATCAATGAACTTGCAATTTGTCAAACATCTCTTTCAAAATATTAAGAGCATATTTCCTTTGTGAGATTATAAAACCTTTCATTGATTGAGCCAATTCAATACCAAGAAAATACTTCAAATAACTAAGATATTTGATTTGAAAGTGACCAAATAAATGTTTCTTCAATTAACTAATCTTAGTCGAATCGTTTACCTATAATAATAATATCATCGACATAAACCATTAGATAAATACATTTTCCTAAAGAAATATGATAGTACAACATTGAATAGTCTTGCTCACTACCTTTTCAAGTAAAACATTTGCACAATGTGACCGAATTTACCAAACCAAGTCCGGAGTGATTGCTTTAAGCCATAAGGAGATTGACATAGTTTACACACTAAATCAGACTCCACTCGAGCACAAATCGAAGAGGTTGCTCTATATAAATCTCTTCTTCAAGGTCACCATAAAGAAAAACATTCTTAATGTCAAATTGGTTAAGTGACCAATGACGAATAATAGTCATAGCAAGGAAGAGCTGAACATGGTAATTTTAGCTATAGGAGAAAAAGTATTACAGTAGTCAAGATCATAAATCTAAGTATACCATTAACCATTAAGCGACCTTTGAGACGACCCACTTCACCATTAAGATTAACTTTAACTGCATAGACTCATCTACAACCCTCATTCTTCTTTACAGAAGGAAAAGGGAACAAGTTCCCAAGTGCCATTATATTCAAGAGCCTATATTTCATCAATAATGATTGGTCACCATCCAGGGTGATAAAGTGCCTCACACATTTTTAGGAATAAAAGTGGTGGACAAAGAGAGAACAAAGGAAGAATACGAAGTAGACAGATGATGGTAGTTTAAAAAATTATACATAGGAAAAGGATTACAAGTAGAACAAATACCTTTTCTGAGAACATGGTAATTTTAGCTATAGAAGAAAAAGTATTACAGTAGTCAAGATCATAAATCTAAGTATACCATTAACCATTAAGCGAGCTTTGAGACGACCCACTTCACCATTAAGATTAACTTAACTGCATAGACTCATCTACAACCCTCATTCTTCTTTTCAGAAGGAAAAGGGAACAAGTTCCCAAGTGCCATCATATTCAAGAGCCTATATTTCATCAATAATGATTGACCACCATCCAGGGTGATAAAGTGTCTCATGAACATTATTAGGAATAAAAGTGGTGGACAAAGAGAGAACAAAGGAAGAATACGAAGTAGATAGATGATGGTAGTTTAAAAAATTATACATAGGAAAAATATTACAAATAGAACGAATATCTTTTCTGAGAACAATAGACCAACCAAAATTAGAGATAGAAGTGGAGGAAGAGGATGAAGGATGAATGACATGAGAGTCTGGTGGCGAAAAATTTGAATCATGAGAATCTTCAAGAACAGGTAAAGGAGTAGGTTGAACCCTAAACCATCATTTTCAACTTTGATAAAGTTAGATGGCCCAAATGATCATGTAAAAGTTCTGGGCTAGAGTAGCAAAACACGACACAGAGGGGCTTGAGTTCAAGTAATAAAGACTTTGTGATTTATATCCTTCTTCAATCAGACAACCCATATCATGTTCTTGAATAACAAAAGAATTGGAATTAAGGTTACAGATCAATTCAGTGAACGAGTCAATTGAGTTAGAGAAAAAAAGTTATAAGGACAAATAGGAATGAAAAGTACAATATTTAAATTTAGTGAAGGACAGAAAGTAACTTGGCCAACACCTTGAGAGCCACTTGGGATCCATTAACCATAGTAACCAAGTGAGAAATTTTAGGATAAACATGAAGGAAAGTGAAAATTGTTACCAGAGATATGATCTGAGGCACCTAAATCTAGAATCCATGGATTTTGACCTTTCGTAGAACTAGAAATACTTATTGTTGATATACTTGGCATTGAAGATGATTGATAATGATTATTAAACTTCTCAGATTTGAACTTCAAAAATTCTTGGTACTCTTTATAAAAAATCATGAAATCTAATTTTTTAGATTTAGACACAAGTAGCTTTGTTAGAAAATCCATAGAAGGAATAACAATTTTTTTATGACACATTCTCTTACAGTAAGAGCATCGGAAATGTCCACTTCTATCCACGTCTTCTTCGACTATTGTGCCTAGCCCATTGTCCATGAGATAACCATTGTTAAGGTTTCAATTACTTTAGCTTGATTCTTATCCTTCATCAAGTTGGGTACACGAATAAGTTTAGTGACTAAACTATCCATTGAAAGAACTTGATCACTAACCAAACTTTGATCATGATCAAAATCAAAATGTAAACTTCTCAAAATTAGGACCATAAACAACTTGTCAAGTTTCTTAATGAGTTCCCCCAAAGTACTCATCATTAGAAACCTTTTCACTTCTTCCACAAGAACTTTAGCTTTTGCAACATGAGAAACCATATCATGGTTTGTCTATTTGAGAGAAGCTACTCTTTGGGTTGTGTTGGAAGTCTCACATCGTTTGTCTCATGTAATGTGATATGGTTTAAATATCCGCTAGGATGCTCCACATATTACCAATTAGTTTTATGTTAGAACCTTAACAAGTTACATCAAGGGTATGCTAAATATTGTTTGCAAAGATATCTTGTGATTTCTTTCAAAAGGAAGCGCATGTCTGAATCAGAAATAAAACTAGTTTCAGTCTCTAAATGGTCATGATAGGTATAGTGAAAAATTAATTAAGAGTCATACAAGTAAATATGGTAAATTCATATATTGTGACTAATAATATCTAAAATATCTAACATTTCCCTTCCAGCTGATGGATATAAATCATATGTACCAAGTTTGTTACAAATATAATCAATTATAGGTCCGCGTAAAGACTTGGTAAAAATATAAGCTAATTGTTCACTTGAGGTAACAAACTTGGTCTTATTGTCTCCAGATACAATCTTTCAATGTGTTTGGTCCTTTCTTGAATGAAAGGATTAAAGCTAATATGAAGAACAACTTGATTGTTACATATAAGTGTCTTTTGAGTGACATCTCCAAATTGTAACTCTTTAAGTAATTGCTTAAGCCAAACAAGTTCAAAAGTGGCAGAGGCCATAGTTCTATATTTTACTTCTGCACTAGATCTTGCTATAACATTACTCTTCCAAGAGATCAAGTTACCTCCAATAGAAACACAATATCCGGAAGTAGATCTTCTATCAGATTATTAGCATTGGGATCCATGGATGTGTTAACAGATTTTGAGTTCATCAACCCAGTTTCTTCTAAAATATCTTATGCATATTTTCTCTGAGATATAACAATACCATTATTGGATTGTGCTACCTCAATCCCCAAGAAATATTTAAGTTTATCAAGATCTTTGGTCTGATACCATGTTAAGGTTCCAACGTAAAATCAATTGGCAATATGTGGAGTAGCTTAACAGGTATTTAAACCATACCAAATGACATGAAGCAGGTGATGTGAGACTTCTAATATACCCCCTCCGACAAAGCCTGTCGGACTAGACAAAGGGTACTTTTGACCCACAACGAAAGGAAAACTCTTGGCCCAAGACAATAACTGGAATGATGTTAAGCTTTAACTCTGATACCATGTTGAATATAGTGAAAAACTAGGTATAGGGTTAATTTCCCTTGTGTCTCAAATATACATAGGGTAACATATTTATAATTAAGAGTCATACAAGTAAATATGGTAAATATATATATTGGGACTAATAATATCTAAAATATCTAACAATACCATTGACTTGGGAACCACAACTTCACTGAAGCAAACCTAGATAAGTAATTTTCTAGTTAAATTTAGCAATGGCAATAATGGAAGAATTGTTGGCTAAAGACATCTCAAACACTGAAAACGCGGGAGGAAAACCGTAAACAACAAAGGGAAACATTGGACCCAACCTTCAAGGACCTCAAAACAGAGAAATGAGGGTAGTAATGCATGCAAAACATGTCGACAAGATGAACAACAGTGACATGCCTAAGATAGTCGCGCTTTCATCGATGCATGAGAATGCATGTGGCGGTGGACAACATCGTTGTAGATAGGGTTGGGTTATGTTCCTCGAGGCACACCTAATCTAGCTTCATTGGTCAAAATGGTGCTGGTTGATAATGATGACAACAACGATAATATGAATAGTGACAAAGGAAACCAATGTGGGATCTTACCACTTTGATACCAACTTGAAGAAATGTTTAGGGTGAAAAAACAATGTCAAATGACACTAGTATATTGTATTTATATACGAGAGAGAATACAAAAGAGAGTTTAGGCACCTACCCAAACCCTAAATCTGGAAACATACACAAGAAAAATAAAAATAAAACATATTTCAACAATTCTCTCTCTCTTTTTTTTTGTTAATGCCATAGGTTAAGATGATTGTACACTTGGGGCTTCCAACATTGTCACATAATGAAGCCAAATGTTATTGACATTTTATTTATTGAGTGCAGTTTAGGACAGGTCAGACTCATTAGAAGACATTTAAAAAATTGAAATTGGGAGTTCATGCAAAAAACAATAACTTGACATCAACTCACAAGTTAATCACATAAGCTCAACCTGGATCAAAGAATCTAGAGAGAACTAATTTCATAATAGAACTAACAAAGAAAGAAAATAAACCAAAGTCCTAGCACCAACAGTTTACATACTAAGTTACCCGAGTTAAAAACAAAAAGGGGAAGGGGGACCTACTGTTCCAGCACTTGAGTAGTGCGATCCATAGTGGAATTTAGGAATGACTGGGTCATCGAAGCTGGAGTATCTCTCTTGAAATTTTTTAAGGCGATCTGGGTTCAGTGCTCCAATAGGCTGTATCATATAAAATAGATTACAAATTTAAAATATAAAATAGTCTCCCTTGAAATTATTGAAGCAACATTCATGATAACCTTTGAAAGATCCCGGTAAGAATAAGGATTAGAAAGATCCAAGCTCTCTGAACTGTAATCAGAAAGAATCCAGGGGAAAACTGGATACTGCCAAAAATAAATGATGATAAAATAAATAACATAAAGATAGAATTAAAGAACTTAATTACAGAATGCAATAAGTTAGTAACCAAGATCACCTGGGTTATATCGTTATAACTACGCCCAGCCAATGTATTGAGTTGCATTAGATACTCAAAATTACTAATCTGCACAAGGACACCACAAAATCAATGTTAATAAGCAAAATTATGTTAAAAACTAATTGTTGTCTGATTAGCGCTTACTAAAGATTATGTTAAAAAATGTTCAATAAACTGAATTATGACAAATTTCATGTATGTTTGTGTTAGAGATACCAGCGCTCTGCTGCTGCTATGGTGTGCAACCCAATACAGTGACATACAGGGTATTGCTATGTTAGTTCAGTTAGTTTTTGCTAACCACATTTATGTCAATTATAGTTAGGGTTACTGTTGTAATCTCACTATTTTGTATCTGAGCTATCCACTGCATAAATTCAATGTATCTAATTCTATTTAAATTAATGAAAAATATTTTTGTCCTGTAAAAAGAAAAGTCAACAAAGATATCACACTTTCAGATATTTAGTCTTCTCATTCTCAGTGTTTTTGAATGTAGAAAACCTCACTTTATTGAGTAAAATTACCTAGCGATTTAGCTGAAGTGAAAAAATATTTAGGGTTTAATATGTATTGGGTTTCTAATCTTTTTTTGAATTTCCCTATAAGTTCCTAAACAAAATCTTAACCGGTTTTAGTCCCAAGTAATGATGTGACTGCCAAGTGAATCGCCACATCATAAACTAGTCAGATGTGACATTTATGTATAACTTTCTTAGTAAACTTTTAATTCTTCCCCATCAAATATGGCAGCCACGTAACTTCTCATGTGGGCTACAAGTTTAATATAATAGTCGTGTAAAACGTTGCTAGTTTGAGATAGTTTTTAGCACTTTTAAAGTGCTACAATTCTTTAATAGTGTAAAACTAGCATGGAAAGAAGGGTTCAACACTTGTTTGAAGTGGGGTAGGGGGTTAGGGTTTGGAAGGGTTCATAGATTGGGGTTCTCTAGTTATAGTGTTTATAGTTTTGATTCATGGAATTAATAGTTTGTGATTTTTCTTTTTCTTGGTGATTTGTGCATTGGGAGTTATTGGTTTTACTTACCGCATTTTTTTTTTCAAATTTCACACAGCTAGAATATGTCCCAATGGGAAGTCATGTCATGTGACTATCACCATCATTCCTTAACGATGATATTTGATGGGAGGTACTAACTCTAACGATATGTTACATACCATGAAATCCAATAAGACATGTGATACATGTGTTACATTACGTCTGCTATATCAAACAAGGAATAAATGTTTAGTACAAAAACAAATCATAAACTTTTATGCTTGAATCCAAACATAATTTCTTTAGGATTAACCAACTTAATCTGAGCAAAAAACTGTTTTCAAACATAACCAAGTAAATTTAAACACACACTAACATCTTCTAGAGTTAAGACACACTTCTCACCTCCCACCTTGCCCAACGCTCCATAAGTTGGGTTCTTTTCAAAAGTTGTCCAGGTCTCTGAAAAATAAATTACTTTTATCAGAAGCTTAGATGGAAAGAAATTTATGAAGATGGAAATTTACACAAAAGATAATACCTGAGTAGCTAAATATATATTGTTTAAATACAGAGGTCGTGCATGAACAATTGCTTGATATGCATTTCTTCGCCCTTCTCTACTCTGCAGAGGAAATTTAGGTAGGGAAAAGTTCTAGGATTGTAAGTTTGCATCATTTAAAAATCATCAGTTCATCACTAACATGTTAAAAAATATATTGAGATTATTAGTTGCAGTTACAATCCAAGAAGATTATATTGTGAAATATAAAAGGAAACAAAGTGGCATATTCAAGAATTAATACCCCGAAGTCAAAGAAGAAGTTGGAACGGTCCACCATAAATATCTCCAGTGCACTTCTTCTAAGAAGATACCTGCAAGAGGAACCAATTAATGATATATAGACAACATCAAGTATATTCAAAATGTTCACTCCACATGGACAACAACTTTGCACTATAACCTGTCAAGCAGAAAACATAAAGTAGCTAAGCAAAATGGGAAGAAGGTGCAATTAGATACAACTTACTCAACAAACTGCTAATGTTTTATGGCACCTACATCATTACGTCACTTACTATTGCACGCACCATGGCTAAATTTGAAAAATCAATTTATGAATACCCAAATGCATCTTGGGTGTGCTCATCTACATGATATTTGAAAGCAGTTTTTATTCAATACTTCCAAAGAACATGATGGAAAAATTAGGAAATTGAATTTTCATAGTAATATGCAGTTTTTCTAGTCCTTCGGTGTGTAGAAGACATGTTTTTAAGGGTTTCCTTTATCCCCAAGTTTGATTTGGTATAGAGTTATGTTTTTGGCTTTGCCATGTTCCACCCAAGATTTAAAATAAAACATATCATCCTTATTTAGTACATCTTTAGGCTTCGTTATTGTTATAGTTATTGTTTATTCCATTCATGGTAGTTGAAAGATTTGATGTCATAGGAGAAGGAAGGATGTTACCAAAGTTGTGAATCAATCCATGCGAACAGATCCTTGTAGGAGCACTTTAAAGGTTTCGTGTGATTAAACAAGACAAACATCAAGGTGAAACTCAAAATAATCAAAGAGTTATCTCTAAGAAATTTCCTTTAACAGATCAAGTTTGTAGTTATGGTATGTACATGCAATAAATTTTTGAGAGCGGTTGGAATTATTAACATGAGTTATATCTATCTCACCTAGGTTTCTAGATCAGCTTTAATCTCTTGGCTTTCCATCTTCTCATTGTATCTCAACTTTAATCTCTTGACTTTCCATCTTTTCATTGTATTTGTACTTTGTCATCATAAATAAAGGAATCATATGAGAGGTGTGATTAAGTACTCTAAAACATATCTTTTCTTCTTTTTTACTTTTAAGTTTGTATCAGAGCGGGTTAATATCGCTTTGCTGGTCTATTGTCTCCTTTGGTGAAAAATCTACAGTTGTCACCTTCGCCGGTCACTATCCATACGTCGGCCACCCTCCGTATGTTGGCCACCTTTCCAATTTTCTCTAGTGACCAATCAAATTTGGATTGTCTCCTTAGGCAATGGCCACCCCTGCCAGTATCGGACAAAGATTCTCAGTCACGTGCCTCTTTTCTCCATGGGCCTTCTCTACGCGTCTGGTCCACATGTCGTCCTCCCTTAAGCGGAGCCTTCCTGCGTGTCTCTAGTGAGTGTCGCCGAATCTTTCTAATCCCAGTTTGGCCCTAGGCTCTCTTTTCCAGCAAGATTGAAGGTTGAAGGTCTCTGTTGACCCTCATCTTCGTTGGAACCCATGTCAGTTGCTTCCTACATTTGAAGATCTTCTCAGTCTCAACTATGTCCAACAAGATGTCCTTTGGACCCATTGTATCCTTTTCTAGGACTGCTTCCATTTCATCTAAAAAACTGAATGGAAAAAATTATCTCTCTTGGTCAACCTCTGTTGAAATGTGGTTCCTTGGACAAGGTTTCCATGATCACCTTGAAAATAATGGGAGTTTTGTATCACCTGATAAATGTGTATTGTGATAATCAAGTTGTGCTTCACATTGCCTCTAATCTAGTATTACATGAGAGAACGAAACACATTGAGATTAACTATCATTTCGTTGACTAAGAAAATTTGTACAAAGTTTATTGGATCTAATGATCAACTTACAGATGTGGTCACAAAAGCATTAAGGGGTCATTGGATTGGGTTCATTTGTTCCAAGCTTGGTATGTACAATATGAATGTTCCAACTTGAGGGGGAGTGTTGAAATTATTAACCTATGAGTTGTATCTATCTTGTTGAATATAGAGGAAATAGGGTTTGAAATTAATCTCCCTTGTGTATAAATCACACATAGGGTAATCTATTTATAATAGAGAGGTACAACTAAAAGAGTAACCGAAAGTAAACAGAATAAACAGAAGATATTGTTTGATATTGTGGTTAACAATATCTTAACAATATCTAAACAATATCTAAACAATATCTAACACTCCCCCTCAAGCTGGAGCATACACATCGTATGTGTCAAGCTTGTTACAAATATAATCAATTCTAGGCCCCCGTAAAGATTTAGTAAAAATATCTGCTAACTGATCACTTGAGTTAACAAACTCAGTCTTGATATCTCCAAACATAATCTTTTCTCGAATGAAATGACAGTCAATCTCAATGTGTTTGGTCCTCTCATGAAAGACAGGATTAGAACTAATATGAAGAGTAGCCTGATTGTCACACACAAGTGTCATTTGAGTGACATCTCCAAATTGTAACTCTCTAAGCAATTGCTTGAGCCAAACAAGTTCACAGGAAGCTGAGGCCATAGCTCTATATTCTGCTTCTGCACTAGATCTTGCCACAACACTTTGTTTCTTACTTTTCCATGAGATCAAGTTACCACCAATGGAGACACAATATCCAGATGTAAATCTTCTATCCGAAGGAGATCCTGCCCAATCAGCATCTGAGTGGCAAACAACTCTTGTATGGTTATTAGAAGCATATAATAATCCTTTTCCAGGAGATCCTTTAATATACTTCAAGATACGAATGACTGCATTCCAATGATCTTCACATGGTGAATTAAGAAATTGACTTACCACACTGACTGCAAAGGAAATGTCAGGACGAGTAACTGTAAGATAATTCAATTTTCCAACCAATCTTCTATATTGCTCAGGATCAAATATAAGCTCCCCCTCATTTGGTAGAAGTTTAGTATTGGGATTCATGGGTGTATCAACAGACTTTGAACTCATCAACCCAGTTTCCTCCAAAATATCTATGACATACTTCCTTTGAGATATAACAATACCATCATTGGACTGTGCCACCTCAATACCCAAGAAATATCTAAGTTTGCCAAGATCTTTGGTCTAAAAATGGTGACAGAGATGTTGTTTCAACTGAGAGATACCATGGTTGTCACTACCTATAAGAACGATGTCATCAACATATACTATCAAGTAAACACATCCAGCACTCGAGTGTCGATAAAAGACAGAATGATCTGCTTCACACCGAGTCATACCAAATTGTTGAACAACCTTGCTAAACTTTCCAAACCAAGCCCTAGGAGACTGTTTTAGGTCATATAAGGATTTGCGAAGACGACATACCATCCCAGAAGACTCCCCTGAGCAACAAACCCAGGAGGTTGCTCCATATATATTTCTTCTTGCAAATCACCATTGAGGAAAACATTTTTAACATCCAGTTGATAAAGAGACCATTGTTGAAAAACAGCCATGGCGATAAATAAACGAACAGAAGCCATCTTTGTCACAGGGGAAAAGGTATCTCCATAATCCAACCAAAAAATTTGAGTATAACCTTTGGCCACAAGACGAGCTTTGAGGCGATCAATAGTACCATCAGGTCCAACTTTGATAGCAAACACCCACCTGCAACCAACAACAGATTTCCCAGACGGTAACGGGACCAATTCCCAACTTCCACTATTATGAAGAGCACTTAGTTCATCTAACATGGCCTGACGCCAACCAGGATGGGCTAAAGCTTCACAAACAGTTTTTGGAATGGTCACAGAAGAAATAGAGGAAAGACATGTATAAAAAGGTAATGACAGTCGATGATAACTCAAAACAATATAATGGGGAGAGGGATTATGTGTAGAACGAATACCTTTTCGGAGGGCAATGGGAAGGTCAGACTCATGTGTCAGATCCGGAGGAGACAGAGTAGTTGGCACTTGAGTGGAGTCACATGGTGGTGGTTGTGATTGGTTTCGAGAACTATAAATTTGAAGAGGCAGTGGAGAAGAAGCTGACTGCGGAGCAGGAACTAATGGTGAAGAAGACACAATTAGAGTGTCACAAACAACAGGAACATTAAATGTATTAGGAGTGTTGACAAGATTGGATGGAGACAGAGGTGAAGATTGACTTTTAAAATAAAGAGACAACTCATCAAAGGTGACATCTTTTGACACAAAATAACGGTTAAGAGAAGGAGAAAAATATTTATATCATTTTTGTGATCTTGTAAACCCTAAGAAAACACATTTATGTGATCTAGGAGAAAGCTTGTCAAGACCAGAACTAAAATTATGAACAAAACATGTAGACCCGAAAAATCTCAAAGGTAAAGGATGAAGTGGTTCATGAGGGAATAAAATGGAATGAGGTATTTTATAATCTAAAACCGAAGAAGACATGCGATTAATGAGATAACATGCAGTAAGAAGAGCATCACCCCAAAAATGTTGAGGAACATCTCCATGAATTAAAAGTGTGCGAGTTGTTTCAATAAGATGTCTATTTTTACGTTCAGCTACACCATTTTGTTGAGGTGTATAAGCACAAGAAGTTTGATACAAAATACCGTGAGAAGCCATGAATTGTTTAAAAGAATGAGAAATATATTCACGGCCATTATCACTACGCAAAACTCTAATAGAAACACCGAACTGAGTTTGAATTTCATTAAAAAAAGTTTGAAAGATATGAAATAATTCAGAACGATTTTTCATAAAAAATAACCAAATGCATCTAGAATAATCATCAATGAAAGTAATAAAGTATTGAAAACCTAAAGTAGACTTAACGCGGCTAGGTCCCCAAATGTCAGAGTGAACCACGACAAAAGGGGACGAAGCACCACGTGTGAAACTACGAGGAAAGGAAGTACGACTATGCTTGCCTAATTGACATGACTCACACCAAACTAGATAAGTTGGACAAGACAGGGACAAGTTTCTGTAACTTGGCAAGACTTGGATGACCTAACTGAGTATGAAGAAGAGAGGGAGACTCCATAACTGTACTAACATGTATAAAGGGACGGAGATAATAAAGACCATGAGACTCACATCCTGTGCCAATCACCTGTTTCGAACTTCGGTCTTATAAACACAGAATTGTTGGTAAAAGTAACAACACAATCAAGAGAACGAGTTAGACGACTGATGGACAACAGGTTAAAAGGAGACTCAGGAACATAAAGAACATTATCAATGGTTAAAGAAGGAAAAAGTTTAACCGTTCGAACACCATGAGATGATACTCTAAAGCCATCAGCCAGTGTAACAAAAGGTAAATGATTAGGAGAGGATAAAGAGGAGAACAAAGATTTGTTACCAATAATATGGTCAGTGGCTCC